GCCAACATCAGTTATCTTCACTGAGTTTTCCTCTGATAGCTTGAATGTAAAAGAAGGAACACCTGTAGTTGTACTGTACTTGGTAAAGTAAACAATTTCTCCTAAGGAACTCCTACAAAACATAGGTTAGTGTTATATACTTTCGGTATCTGATGAAAAGTGTTTTCCTCACTCCCCACTTCCCATTCCTCCTTTTAATAGCATCCAACGTAAGTGTAAAGAGTACATGTGTATGTACCCCTTTGTTCTTGAAACAAGAAAGAATTAAATATATTACTCAATCTTACGTTTCAAAGTTTGGCGTTTTGCCTTTTTGAACTCGAATTAAAACAGATTTACAAACCATCAGGCAGAAAACACTAAATGTTTTTCTTTTTACGTAAAGCCATTTAAAAAATTAAAGTTTTGATTAATATTTAGGTCAATATTTTTAAATTGCCATAACACGAAATTCAGCTTCATACCAAGATGTTCTTTAGCTTAAGGTCCCTGTGGACAACTCCCTGATTATGAATGAACGCAAGAGCTTCAGTGATCTCCTCCGTCCATTGATATACTTTCATAATGACAGCAGGATTCGTGGTTTTTGCTGGAGCTGCTTCTGGGTGATCAAAGATCTGACTCTTCAAGTTTCCTTTGCACTTTTCCATTACCAGGATTACTCTTGTGGTGTCCGCTTTCTTGAGAAGAGATGTGCCACAAAACTTTACAATGTGGGGATGCTCCAATTTTCTGTCGAACAGAATAAAAAAAACACCCAATATAGATACAAGTATTGCAAAATTGGCTTTATAAAAACTGTCATATTCTCTTACGTGTCTTTCTTTTTAATCTTATGCTCCTTACTGATTCGTCTGCCATACACACCCGCGACGAACAGATTACTCTGAATCTCATTAAATGGCGTCTAACAACGGCTTAAACAAGATCGAAAGATATGAAAGAAGGAAACGGTCGACGTTATTCGCAATGACCCAATTTGCCAATTTTGCTGCACAAAGAACTCCACTGGACCCTCTGTCACTAATTCCGGTAATTATAATGTTCCTGGGTTGCTAAACGCGGCACTGGGCCTGCAAAACCTACAGTTTAACCTTTAGTCACGATGCACATTGCAAATGAGTACCGAATATGGCATCTGTAGATAAGGACTATCACGATAGCCATAACTGTAAAAAAAAGTATTTGTTTAACAAATAAAGAAGCCTGAGCCGTGTGTTACACTGTGATAAAACACGAAGGGCATTTGAGAACACGAAGGAAATGTTTTCTACATTTCTCGAGTGTTCTCAAATGTCCGGAGTGTTTTATCACAGATTAATACACGGCTTAGGCTTCTTCATTTGCTTCATGATGTAGATTTTACACGCGCAAAACAATAAAACACGCTTTTGTGTGTTTTATACTCTGATAAAACATGGCTTCTTGACCAATCAGAGCGCTCGCAGGGTCCTATCTGTATTATAAAAATATATAATGAAATCACACAAGAGTTTTTGGGGAAGGAGCTTAAAAAGACAGCTTACTGGTATTTCGATCACACTGAATTCGCCGAGAGTCTCTGTCGTCCGCCAGAAGTCTGGTATCCAGTACTTTTAGATTAACAGACTAGCTCAGCTTCTGTCCAAGGTCTGTTTTTCATGCGGAGACAAGGTTAGGGTTCCAGTAGTGAAATCCGGAGGTCGCACGTTAGAGTCCCGCCCGCTCCCCCGTCCCGCTCTAAGCGCCATTAACCTGGGTTTGTTTCCCAGTAGACCGAACTGCACCTCCTCAGTCATTCTTGTAATATC